CCTCACGCGTTACTTTCATCGATAGGATGAGCAAAATCGAATGAATCTTTCCCTAAAACATGAAAATATACACTGCCACACTTGTAAATTCAGTTCACAAACCCCCGCCCGAAAAAGACCCCGTTCATAAAACTGCCCCTACAGCAACTGCACCGAACGACCCAAAAAAAAAAACATACGTACCATCGATCCTGGTGGAGAATGAACGGTCAGATAATGAAAAACTTCCCTATACTGAAAGCCCCGCTACGACCTCCAGCTGCCCTTCACTCCACCAGAAGACCGCACCACCATCTCCCCCAGCCGCCGCCGCATTCCCTCACGAAACGACCATTCGGTGCCTGGTTGGCAACCGCAACCTTATTAAACCACCAGTACTTGGCCCAGCTATCGATGCCGAGCCTAGAATGCCCCTGCACGCCGATTTTCGCCAAGCGTCGGGGTACCGTTTCAATTTTTTTTTCGTTGGCGCTTCCAGCCATTGTGGTCCGGTACCCCGAAGCCCTAAAGGCGCGGCACGTATACGGGAAAGGGCCGCGGCTGATAGCTGGGCCAAGTACTGGTGGTTTAAACGCGCAACGACACCCTCTTTACCCACTTACACGGTTTATACCCACTCACGCGGTTGACGACATTACCCATATGGAAACGGGCCGCTAAACCACAAAAAACATCCATCTATACGAAGCCATCCTAGAATGTGGCCCCTCATCCTGGAACGTAGCCTTGAACCGCTTCCTTTGCCCTTCTGATATGTTTGTCTCAAGCGGTCGGCCGGAATGCGGCCCCCTCATCTTTGGTTCGCTATTCGCAACCATAGGCTGCGCTTTACCCCGGTCGTCTTTTGTCGTTTAGCGAAAACTTTCCCTTTCGGGAAAGTCGATGACCGTCAACCGGGGTCTACAGGGCGTGAACAGAGGTGCTGGAAGGGTGCGGTCGGGATCGTTAAAACGACCGGTAGGCCTATCGGTTGTCCCAGAGCTCAGAGGCTCAACGACCGGTGTTGGGTTGGGAAGGTCGTTGAGGCAACCAGCTTGGTCGGCGTCCGCGTTTCTCGTTTGGGTAAAAGGGGGGATGTGCAGAACGAGAGTGAATCTTCCGCAAGAACATGGAAAGATACCTCGCCAAGATTTTTGTAGCACTAGGGACAGACAAAGAGTCCCCTCAGAGTGAATCGTCCGCAAGAACATGGAAAGATACCTCGTGCAGATTTTTTTTGTTTGTTATTTTTCTTTTATATGCATGTCTGTCGATGCATGTCGTCGAGACGAGAGCAGCAGTGGAGCGAGGCCCAGAGTCTAGGGGCCTCGCCATGCACAGCCTGTCGAAAGGCGAAAAAGACAAAAAAAAAATGTGGCATGAGGAAACTCAACGCGAGGTCCTGCACCTCTCCACAAACACGTCCTCATTGGGGCATTGAAGGAAGCCAACGCTGCTAGTGGGACTTGGCCCCAGAACAAATTTACATGGCACTGGATCTGAGGATTGGCCTGGAATAGAGTCGCGTCTTCCCCCGAGTACAACGCACCGTCATCATGGCCGTATCCGACCAGAAAAGTAGGTCGCATACATTCATGATCAGGGTACGTCTGTTTTTTTTTGTTTTTTTTTTTTGGGGGGGGGGGG